GAAGAGATTGAGATTGTTCACAGCTTTAGTTTGCTTGGCTCCACAATCAACACTCTTGGCACCAACAGCCAGGAAATTAAAAGATATATTGCCATGGATAAGGTTTATATGAGCTAATGAAATAAAATATAGAGACTAGCCCATGGAGAACACTGAGTAGTAATTATTACTATTGGCTTTTCATTGTAAAGGTCAAATAGGGTGAATCTTAAGATGCCAAAAAGCTGCACACATTTATTAACAGAAAAATCAATTCAAACCAAATAGTTTGTTTTAGTGCTAGACATGCAATGAATATATTGTTCTATTTTTCCTTTGAACCGCATTCTATTTTTTGTAGCTCTATTCTTAAGCAGTTCTCCTAGGGAGGGTATGGGGGGAAGCGCAAAGCAAAACTTGACAGGGAAGCTGATTACTGTGAGTTTACCATTAACTTTTGAATCAGTTCTAACTTTGGACACAGAAAATTTGTCTTAGGTGTCTACATGTAGTTTACATTTCTCTTTATTCTTTTCCCTCTTAGCCACACATAATCTCTTTGATTCAATATAATCTGATCCTTTGTTAGAGATTCCAAAGGCCAGAGACCATTAATTTATTTCCATGGCTTCTGAAATGAAATCACTTTAAAGTTTCCTACATTTAATGTGCATAGGATAAACTCTGGTATCTTTGAAGAGAATGTGCAAACATTTGAAATGGAAAAGCTAACATTACAAAAACAAAAAAACTTATCCTTGTATAGGTCATTTTACCTTCTGGATGTCTAGCTTGATAGTACAGGTCATTTTAGCTTACAGAAATCTACTGTTTTGCATAGATGTGCAAAGAAGGAGGGGGATTTTCCTTCTGTACCTAAGGGACCACTTGCTATACAGAGGAAACTCGTAGTTGTTGTGAAGCTGAACACTGTGACACTGATGTGTCAAATGTGAGAATGGCTTCCGTGATGGACAGTGTTTGGTGGAGCTCCCCGATTCAAAAAGGCTTGGAAGCAGGAGTGGCATCCACTTCCAAAATAGCTTGCCCGGAAACCCTATGAACCTGGAGAAAGGATTAAAGTTACACAAGTGTTCAGGTCTTTCGTTCATAGGGTCCCTGTGAGTCGTTTACGACTTGACAGCACTTAACAGTAACAACAACCTAAAGGAGGAAGCCCTGTTGGCCTAGTCTGTGGGGCATTTCACTGCGGACTCCAAGGCAGCACTTCTCTGCCAGTTCAGACCCACCAGTGTGGCTTCCAGCAGAAGAAAGGTGGGCATTCTCCTCCTGTGTGGGCTCAGTATCTGAAAACCCAGAGGAGGATCAGCTGTATGATCAGTACCAAATCAAGCCAATGACTTTGAGATGAGAAGCTAATGGGGTTTCCTACATCTGAAGAAGAATATAGCTCAAACTTCTTTTTAAATATTAAAGTTTTTAAATAAATTAAAATTTACAGAAAATTTTCAATAATCATGCAAAGAAATTTGCCTGCCGTTCACTCAGATTTCTGAATACTTTGCCACATTTGCTGCTTTCTCTCAGCACACACATGCATGCACACATACATACAATGGCCGTGATATTTTTTTTGGCTTTTAAAAATTTTTTTATTACTAAGTTTTATTAATTTTAGTGCACATTTACAGAGATTTTGGATTTTCATTCATTCATTGTTGCACTATTTTCTCTACCCTCCTCCCCAGTTCATTCTTCTTTCCCCCCGCCTTGAGAGTCTGTTTTAATTATTCTATTGCCACAGTGCTTGTCAAAGCCAGTTCTGATTAATCTCCTTTGTTAGTGTGTCCTTTGCCATTCCCTATCACTCCTCCCTGAGAGAGACTTCACCCTGATTCATAAGGAAAAGGTGTATTTTCTTAGCTACTTCCTGCTGAAAAGGGACGCTGTAGGTTTCAGGATGAAGATCTTCTCTCACTACTCTAAAGGACCCCTTTGGCAATAGGAAACACATAGATTATTGTGGAGATTGATGTTGGAGTTTACATGCACTGTTATCAGTTGTGCTTAGCTGTACATGTTCATATCCTTGAAGATGTATCATGGAAGTGTTGCAGCCTAGAAGACAAAAATTTAACTAACAAGTTAAAAGTACATGAGTCAAAAATTAAAAAGCAATAATATTCCAAGTAGAGGCTCTAATAGTGGCACAAGTCAAGTTACAGAGGGAAGGTAGTTCTTACAATAAAAGGCTAGCACTTTGTCTATTCTAGTATAAAGGTTAGGAACCACAAGATGTAAAGGCTCAACTAAATCCTGGACCAAATTCCATCTACCACTGGATTGTTTTACAACTCGGAAGTCTGCATGCAAGGCAGAGGTGAAGTAAGGAACTGCTTATGAGGTTTTCTGTCAATTCCAACAACTAAGAAATAGTGAGAAGAGTTGGGACCTCAGAAGGCTTTTAGGACCAAATAGTAGGCTCTTGTGTCTAGGAGAAAATGAATATACTTACCAGTAATGTTAATGCTCACCCACAGCTCTTCTGGGAGGATCTAAGTTGTTGAAGTAGTGCTTTTTTTTTTAAAATCTGAATCATCTAAGTTGCAGACACCAGGACTCTTTACCTTAAATACTTCATTATATATTTCTTAAAAATAAAGGCATCATCTTATGTAACCAAAGTTGCCAAACCCAGAAAATTAACAGTGATTTATTACTGTTGTATAATTTGAATACTATTACATTTCATAAGTAGTTCCAATAGTATCTTTTATTGGAAGAGTGAATGGGCCCAGGATTTAATCCAAGACCACCTGCTTCCCTTTATAGCATTTATTTCTCAGCAAATAACTTAATGAATCCTCAGTCCTCACTAATAGAGACTCTTAACTTTACGATCACACAGTTGCTTTCTTTTCAGATGGAAAATGAATCAGAGGAGCAGGTAAAAAGAGCTGCTTTTAGAACATTTGTCTGTAGTTAAAGGAGAAAAGGGAGAGTGGTAGAAGTTGTTTAAATAAATACATTGACTTATATTAATTGTATACAAGAGTTTAAACAAATACATTGACTTGTACTAATTGTATACAAGAGAAACAGGATTTTTCTCCCTTTCTTTGGCTTTACAAAAGACTTAATGCTTCCAAATTTTGTGTGCTGGTTGAGTTAGTTATAACTTGTCTGCCCTGTAACTGGTGAGTCACTGGCTGTCCCAGCACCCATTCTAAAGAAGCAGGCCGTGCACACACTTCTTCTTTTCTTCAGACATTGATCATAGTGACTTCTCTTTCTTTGGCAGATGTCGTGCTGGAGAAGGCCATGCACAAGTGCATCTTGAAGCCGCTGAAGGGGCACGTGGAGGCTATGCTGAAGAACTTCCACATGGCAGATGGTTCCTGGAAACGGCTGAAGGATAACCTGCAGTTGGTGCGGCAGAGGGACCCACAGGAGCTTGGAGTCTTCACCCCAATCCCTGATTTTGTGGATGTGGAGAAAATCAAGGTCAAATTCATGACCATGCAGAAGATGTACTCGCCAGAAAAGAAGGTCATGCTATTGCTGAGAGTCTGCAAACTCATCTACACTGTCATGGGGAGCAATTCAGGTGAGGTGGCCCACATTGCCTGGCTCTTTGCTGATGCCCTCTGGGCATGGACTAGCCAGGACATGTCAAGCTCTCTGGTTTTCAAATTCCCTTCCTTTCAATCTAATAATTTCTCCAAGGTGTTCACAATAATAGCAGTGTTACTTTGATGTCTGTCAGGTTAGTCATTCACAACATATAAAGGAATCAGGGAACCAAATCAGATGCTGTTGTGACAGCTCATTAACACCCTGAGATTGGAGCAGAACTGGCCCATTGTGTTTCTAAGACAGTACTCTTTATGGGGACAGGCTACCGCAGCTTCTTCCTTGTGGAGCTGCTTGCCTTTCAGTCAGCAGCCAACCATTGAACCATGATGCCCCTGGGACTCCTTAATACAGAGATAGCTCAAATGAAGTGGGCAGCGGGAGTTTTGTATGGTGCCAGTTTAATCAGAAATTTTTGAGTCGGGAGTACTTAGGTCAGGGTGGTGGTGGTTGTGTGCTGTGGAGTTAGAGCCAAGTCATAGATGACCCTGCAGGAGGTTTTTAGAGGTTGTAAGGTGCACCACAGGAGACTGCCCTCTTCCTCCCATGGAGCAGCTGATTGATTAGGACTGTGTGCTTTTGGGATTAAAGCCCATGTTCTTACCACTAAGCTAAATGCTATATCTGGTCTTGTGTTCAAATCCTTAGCCATATGTATTAGTTAACTGTAACTTTGATGATGTTAATCAGCCATCAAAGATACAGTTCTTGCATCTGTAGGCATATGTGACACTGCTTTTTCTAAGGTGAAGGTTAGATGCATGCATAGCACCAAACTCAGTAGAAATCATAATTATTATAACATTTCAGACAAGAAGGGCTATGTCATTGCTTTATACCATGTGCCAGAAACATGGAGCAGTCTGTAATAATACTGTTTCTTAGAATTGTGGGCTCACCCTCTGTAACAGGCTGAGTCAATGTAATTGGAATTCATCAAAGAGATTCAAAGGAGAAATTAAGCATTCAAATTTCAGTAGCCATACTTCATATTGAATGAGCTCACATTACTTCAGGTCTTCATTGATCCTATTGAAAGTCTATGAACTATTAACTTTTCCTTCAAATGCAGTTATTTTGTGAAAAAGTAACAGAAAGAGTGCACAGGCTTTACTAACTATCCTTCTAATAGATAGGAATGTATTCGGCACTTTATGTATGAAGTATTGAGTGATGACATTAAAGTATTGAGCTCTTGTACTGGTAAGGATAGAATGGGAACTTTACCCCTTTGCAAGCATCCTGCATGGGTTCATGGTAACCAAAAATATCTCCAGATGTTGAATAAGCCCCACCTGGGAATCACAGCTACAAAGAAAACTAGAAATTACTTAAGTTTGGCACAAAGGATAAGTATGTATGCATTTTGCAAATATTTAATGTTTGTGAAAGTTAAATACTTAAAAGTACTCTGTTTCGTTGCTTAACTCAGTGCAAATCTGATGTGGGAGGATAATCTTTAATCTGTTAACTTAAAGACATTCATTCTGAAATTGTAAATTGGAGCTGGCCAAACAGAAGAACAGCAGTAGGGTTTATAGGGTGCATAAAATGCCAAAAACACCCACCTCTGTTCATAAATAGTCCATTTCCCAAGAATGACTGCTCACCAGCTAATAAAAGCAACAAGTAGGCTATGAAAGGAATAAACATTGGTAAAAATATTCTGATCTTTCCTTTTACTAATCTCAGGAAGGATGTATGGAGCTGACGACTTCTTGCCTGTGCTGACCTATGTCATTGCTCAGTGTGACATGCCTGAACTGGACATTGAAATTGAGTACATGATGGAGCTCTTAGACCCATCCCTGTTACATGGAGAAGGTAAAAGTACTTTATAAAAAGTAGAAGGAACTGAGTGGATGCTTTTAGTTTTGTTTTTTTTACATTTTAAATTTAAATGCAGAGTTTTATGGAAAAAATTTGAGAAAGCTGGGGAAAAGAGAAAAAAAGAGAAACCTGCCATAATTATATTTTTATATTGATGAGTTACAATAATTGCCATTGTTTAAAAGAAATAATTTCTTTAATTCCAAGAAAAAGACATAATTTTTTAAGAGTATTTCCAGAACCACGTGTGTGTGTGTGTGTGTGTGTGTGTGTGTGTGTACGTGTACCACCAAGGCAAAACCAACCCATAGCTGGCCCTTCAGCGTGTTTTCAGAGGCAGTAAATCATGAAGGAGATTGCCCATATTTCTCCTGTGGCACAACTGGTGGATACGAACTGCATGCCTTTGTGATTGAAGTATAATTTCTTACCACATTGCCAATGTCAGATGGATTTTGGCTGAAAGCCGAGAATAACAGAAGAAGGTCTGTTTGTGAGTTCAAAATCAAGAAAGGAGGGTATCAGGGATGCATCCTTTTCCATATCTTTTCAGTCTATCTATGAAACAGATCATTCAGGAGGCTGGACTTTATGAGGAGTTATGTGGCATCAGGATTGGAGGGAAACTCATCAACAACCTGCATTATGCAGATAACACAATCTGGTCAAGGACTGCAGTCTTCAATATGAATTGAAGCTCAACATCAGGAAAAGAAAGATTCTCACCACTGGGACAATTGGAAGCACCATGAAAGATAGAGAAGATATAGAGGTTGTTAACAAGTCTATCTTGCTTGGATCCACAGTCAACACTCTAGGCACCAGCAGTTAAGAAATCAGTAGACTAGTTGCATTGGGAAAGTCTGCTGTCAGGGACCTCTCTAGAGTGCTAAAAAGCAACAAGGTCAGACTAAGGTGCACCTGAGCCTGACCGTGGTCTTCTCAATTACTTGCTGTGCATCAGAGATGACAGAACAAGAATTGATGCCTTTGGGTTGTGCTGGAGAAGATTATTTTAACATACCATGGACCACCAAGAGAACTAATAGGTCTGTCCTGGAGAGGGTTAAAGCAGGCAATGCTTTTAAAACTCTATCACAGATACTTTGAGCATTTTCCCAGGAGGAACCAGTCCTTGGAAGAGAACATCATGCTTAGAAGGGTGGAAGATGAATTCAGGAAAGGAGGACCCTGGATGAGATGGATTAGCACCATAACTGGTGTAATAGGGCTAGGTGGGTCAGAGACAATGAGATTGGCTCAGGATAGGGCAAGGTTGAGAGCTACATAGCTACACCACCACCACACCACAAAATACTTGGCTGTTATATAAGTGAAACATGAAAGTCTAGCTTTTGTTTTCATCCTTTAAAAAAAATTAAACTAAAAATAGCAAAGGATTTTCTGTTTAAAAAATTATATCTTTACATTGCATTGCCAAGCTGAGGTGGATTGGTATAGGCCATTTTGAATCAGAAAACATATGATCTACTGCCAGAAATGAAAAAATGAGGAAAAATGGGGTCAGATTCATACTAAAAAAACCCATTTCTAAATCCATCTTGAAATACAATGTTGTGAGTGACAGAATAATATTGGAAGGCCTGTTAACACCACTATCATACAAATATGTGAGCCAAAGAGGAGGAAATAGAAGATATCTACCAACTTTGCAGTCAAAAATCGATCAAACATGCACCCAAGATTCATTAATAATAATTGGTGACTGGAATGCAAAAATTGGGAAGGAAGAAGAATCAGTAGTCAGAAAATACAGACTTGGTGACAGAAATGAGGCTGGAGATAGAATGATAGAATTTGGTATAATCAATGATTTCATTCATTGCCAATACCTTTTTATAAGAAACCCAAATGCTGACTGTACACATAGATCTTACTTAATGGACTAAACAGAAATGAGATTGGTTACATTTATGGAAAGAATATTGGAGATGGTAAATATCAGCTGTGAAAACTAGACCAGGTGCTGATCAGGTGCTGATTGTGAGACAGTCAACTACTCATGTGTTCAAATTAAAGCTAAAAAAGGGTTAAATCAAATACACAGTAACCAAAATTTGATCTTGAGTCTATCCCACCTGAACTAAAAAACAATCTCAAGAACAGATTTGAGGCCTTAAACACAAATAAATAAAGAGCAGATGAGCTATGGGAAGAAATCAAGAATATCATCCATGAAGAATGCATGAAAAAGACTGAGATGGATTTCAGAAGAGACTTTGAATATTGCACTAGAATGCCAACAAGCCAAAACAAAGAGGAAAAAAATCAGGAATTTAAGGAGCCCAACAGAAGATTTCAAAGCCCAGCTCAGAGAGACAGAGCAGTGTGTAAGGAAATGTGTAAAGAGCTGGAGTCAGAAAATCAAAAGGGAAGAACTCATTGGGAATTTCTCAGTTTGAAGGAACTGAAGAACAACTTGTAACTTCAAGTTACAATCTTTAAGGATGTTATAGAGAGAATATTGAAGGAGGAACCAGTCCTTGGAGAGAGACATCATACTTGGAAGGGTGGAAGAACGTCGCAAAAGAGGAAGACTCTCACTGAGATGGATTGAGTCAGTGAATGGGGTGATGGGGGTAGGTCTGTCAGAGACAATATGCTTGACTCAGGATAGAACAGGGTTCAGAGCTGTTGTACATAGGGTTGCTATGAGTCATAGGTGACTTGACAGTACATAACAACAAGAACAAATATGAAGATTAGTATAAAGAATACACAGAGTCACTGTACCAAAAAGAATTAGTTAACACAGAGTTTCAGGAAATACCATATGAACAAGAGCCAATGATAATGAAGGATGAAATTCAAGCTGCACTGAAGACATTAGCAAAAATTAAGGTCCTAGGAAATGATGGGACACCAATTGATATGTTAGAGATAACAGATGCAGTTCTTGATGTGCTCATCAGTTTATACCAGCCAATCTGTTTATACCTGGCCAAATGACTGTAAGCAATCCATATTTGTTCACATTCCCAAAAAAGGTGATCCTACAAAATGTGAAAAATTAATATCACGTGCAAGCAAAATATCGCTGGAGATCATTCAGAACCAGCTAGAACAGTACAAAGATAGGGAATGGCCAGAAATCCAAACAGAATGTATAAGAGACCATTGCACCAGGGATAAAATTGCTAATATCAGATGGATCCTGGCTGAAAGTAAGGAATGCTTTATTGGCTGTGCAAAAGCATTTGATCAACAGATTCTGGCTAACATTGAGAAGAATGGGAATCTCAGAACATTGTGCTCATGCAGAAAACTTGTACCTAGACCAAATGGAGCAAGGGAACACTGCATGCTTTAAAGTTAAGAAAGGAATGTGTCAGAGTGTATCCTTTATCCATACCTATTCAGTTTGTATGCTGAGCAAATAATTTGGGAAGCCAGACTCTGTGAGGAAGAATGTCACATCAGGATCAGAGGAAGACTCATCAATAGCCTGCGTGATGCAGACGACACAACCTTGCTTGCTGAAAGTGAGGAGGACCTGACACACTTTGCTACAGAAGATCAAGGACTGCAGCCTTTGGTATGGATTGCATCTCAGCATCAAGAAAAGAAAGGTTCTCAGCACTGGACCAACAATCAACATTATGATAGGTGGGGAAAGGATTGAAGCTGTCAATGATTTCATCTTCCTTGGATCAACAATCAACACCTAAGGTACTAGGAGTCAGGAAAATAGGAGAAGTATTGCATTGAGCAAGTCTGCTGTCAAGGATCTCTCCAAAGTGCTGAAGAGATATGATGTCAATTTGAAGACTAATTCAGGCCATAGTCTTCTCAGTCACTTGCTACTTACTCATCAGAAAGCTGGACAATGAATGAATAAGGATGACAGAAGGATTATTGGTATCTTTGAATTGTAGTGCTGGAGAACAGTACTGAATATCCTGTGAACTACCAAGGGAACAAGCAGATGTCTTAAAGAGGGTACATTCAGGGTACTCGTTGGAGGCAAAGATGTCAAGGCTTCATCTTTCATACTGTGAACATGTATGAACAAGAGTATTCATTGGAGAGGGACATCATGTTTGGAAAAATGGGGGGAAGAGTTTAGAAAGGAGGAAGACCCAATGATATGGATTAACACACTGAATTCAACAATGGGATTCAGTGTTGTGAAAATGGCACAAGATAGAACAAAGGTCAAGTTGGCTGTTCATAGAGTTGCACTCAGTAGCACCTAACAACAATATGAATATAGAAAAAAAATTAAGAAATGGAAAAAAGAGAAAAAAGGGGAAGTTTTGAGGCAGGCACCTGATTGATGCTCTTGGTGGAAGTGGTTGGAGGCAAGCTGTCTGGTCTAGGATGGAGTCTAGGTGATGGATGCAGGAGTTGCAATTGATGTCAGCACTGGGTAGAGAGCAAGTGTGTGTCCAGATGTGGATGTGGAGGGCATCCAGTGCTAGACCCACAAAGGGGTAGAGGGTCAGCAAAGAAGAGAAAGACTCTCAGTGAGATGCATTAGCACAGTGGCACAGAAGAGACTGTGAGGATGGCACAGGAGGGGGCAGAGATTTTGTGTTTTGGATACAGGGTCTCTATTTTTTGGTGCCAGCTTGACAGCACCAAATGACAGCAGCTGCTGACAGGAGCCACCTTGGGGAGCATTGTTTTTCATTAATGTTTCCATTTGTTAAACAGGAGAGCATTCTTCAGGGTCTTGCATTAGTAATTACATACTTTGCCCCAAAAATGATCCTGTTGCACAAAATGCCTTTTAAGCTCAATACTTTATCACTTCACCTCAAGGTAAATAAATCACAAATGCCTATTTTGTTTAAAGAAACTTTTAAGTTTGTGGAGTGCAAGACTTCGGATTCTTTATTCTTAACTTTCTCAGTTCTCTATCTGTTTTGGTTCACAGGAGACAGTCAGTAGGTATTTTGACAAAGAATGTCTGTAAATATGAAATGTGCTACACCCGTTTAGGAGCGACAGTGGGCTTGAGCATGGGGGGATGAGGATGGTGCAGGATCATAAATAACTTTTGGGATGCCCCCTCATGGTTTGCTAGCATAGAGTTTGCAAGTTCATTCACAGGCACGTGATATTATTTTGAGTCTTTAACACCTAAGAACATATGAAATAATTTCTGAATTCACTGTCTAAGGGACGTTACATCACTTGCATTATTAAATTATTTTTTCATTATTAGTAAATTTTTCTCTCTAAATGTTGTATTATGTTAGTGTCACACTAAGAGTAAGGAAGAGAGGGAAGTGGGGGAAAGAACAAATGGGTGTCTCTTGGAAGAAGTGCAGCCAGAGGGCTCCTAGGAATCGAGGATGGGAAACTTGTCTCACAGACTCTGGGCATGTTAACAGGACAGGCCAGTCCCCAGAAAAGGATGTCATGACTGCAAAAGTTGAGGGGCATCAGAAAAGAGGAAGTTCTCCATGAGATGAATGGACGGTGCCTGTCAACAGTGTTCTGGAGCGTGGCAGGAGTGAGAAGGTGCAGGATCCAGCAGGGTCTTGTTCTGTCATACCTGGTGCCACCATGAGTTACAGTTGACGCTGGCTTGAGAGCACCAAACAGTAGCAGCATGTTTTTGTGAATTCTCTCTTGTGTGATGTTTTCCCCAAGTGTGTAAGTTACCTAAAATTTAGAAAATACTAATTCCTGAAGTGAATGAGTGGATGAAGAAGTACTTGTGGACAGATGGCCTGTAATTGTGTGGTGCATGAAATTGAAACAGCTCGCTCTTTCTGCCCTCCCTAGGAGGCTACTACTTGACAAGTGCATATGGAGCACTTTCTCTGATAAAGAATTTCCAGGAAGAACAAGCTGCCAGGCTGCTCAGCTCAGAGACCAGAGACACCCTGCGGCAGTGGCACAGACGGAGGACCACCAACAGGACCATCCCTTCTGTGGATGACTTCCAGGTATGGAGCTGGGAGGTGGGGCTGCCCATGCTGCTTGCTCTGTGCCCAGGGCCAGAGCTGGTTTGTACAGCAAACTGAGAGCTCACCATTTATTCGGACATCTTTCGGAAATGGGATGTGTTAAATCACCCTCTGACCTTGTTTCACCTCTCTGTTCAGAATATGAGTTTGGCCCACATTTTGCTGCCCCTAAAAAAACCATGTCGGATTAAAGCAGCATTCTTCTTATGAGGTCTGGCATGGATGCTGCACACCTAGGCAAGGAGGAGTCACAAGGACGAAGAAAGGACATGACACTGGCTATTTTCTGCCATCAGGCAAGAAAATGACATTCATGAAGGGACAGTGGTTGACTTATGTGCTGCCATCTCCCTCATGTTTTTGAGAAAAGGACAGCTGCAGGAATGACTATTTTCTCTCCTTGCTTTTCCTACTCCCAGCCCCAACCAGGAGATTCCAGAATCCCAGCAGCCTTGCAAGGGTCAGGGCTTAAAATTTGAGAGACAGCCGACTCCCATCAAGATCCCCCGATGGGGATATTTCATGATCACACGTGAATGAGCTAGTGGCGAGGAGTGTGGAATGCTCTAAGAGTGTTTCTTAGTGAAGAGAGGCAGGCAGAGTTACAGAGATCGTTGGCAGGCTCAGCCTTAGACTCTGATTCAGTTGGCTATCTAAGCAGGGGTGGGTGTTCTGGGGCCATAGACCTTTTGAAGAGAAGAAATGAGAAAAGCTTGTTCTTGTGTCTTTCAACCTCTTTCCATCTGGAGTTCAGACACCACAGACACCCCATAACCCCCATCCACCGTTTTAGTTTGCTCACCTTAAAAATCCACACCGCATCCAAGTAGAAGTTTTCTGCTCATGACGTGGATGTAAAAGTAAAAACTCAGACACAGGGCCATATCTGGGACTCTTAGTGAGGGTCACAGACATGCAGGCTCACACTGGAGGAGGCCATGGACCATCCCAGTGAAGACAGTGGATCATGGTGCTGCCACTTTCTAGCTTTGTTGCCTTTGGCAAATCACTTCACCTCTCAGTGCCTCTGTTCCTTCACTGGTCAAATGTGAATAATGTATCCTTCATTGACACAATTATCATCAGGTTTAAAAGAGCACTGAGTGCATGAGGCCCAACGTGAGGTAAAATCAAGCACGATACATTGACATGTTCGTGTCAGAGCAGTCTAGTTTGCACCCTGCTGCTAGACAACCACGTGGAGCCTGGGTGCCCTCCTACTACATGACCACAGGGCGCCTGGGCACTCTCTCAGTTGACGACCACGTGGGGCCTAGTGCCCTCTCACTAGAAGGTCAAATGGGACTTGGGCCAGAGCAGCTCCTCCCTCCCTCCTGAGGAGCAGGTCAGATAGGTCAAAAAAAGAAATTGGTTTTTACCTGAAATTAAAATATAGCTGGGCATCCTATGTCTTATCTGGTAAACATATCCTTAGAAAGAGGGGACTAACAATGGCCAAACAAATTATCCAGGGTCACAAAATCTAAGAGGGTCCACAGCCAGGATTGTTTGAGCTTAGTGTGTGTCCATGTTTATGTGTGTGTGTCTTTGTGTTCTTGTGTGTGTGTCTGTGTTTGTGTGTTCTGCATGTATGTGTATGTCTGTGTATGTATGTTCCTACTATGTATCTGTGTGTATATATATATATATATCTGTGTGTTCCCACCATTATGGATTGCATTTCAATGTCAGGAAGACAAAGATTCTTACCACTGGACCAATAGGCAACGTCATGATAGATGGAAAAAAGATCAAAACTGTCAACAACTTTTCTTACTTGGATTCCCAGTTAACGTCCTTGGTACCAAAAGTCAGGAAATCAGGAGACATATTGTACTGGGAAACTGCAGTTAGGGCCTCTCCAAAGAAATGAAGGATGAATGACAGAAGAAGAATCAATGCCTTTAAGCTGTGGTGTTGGAGAAGAGTGCTGAACATCCCATGGACTGCCAAAAGAACAAGTATGTCTTGGAGAGGGTACAGCTATAGTGCTTGCTCTTTGGAGGCAAAGATGAGGAGGCTTCACCTAACATATTTGCAGCATGTTGCCAGGAGGGGCTATTCCTAGGAAAGGGAAATGATCCTCATCAAGTGGATTGACATGTGACTGCCACATGAGCTCTAATGTCTCAAGGGTTTGTTGGGGTTTTTTTAATTAATTTTAATGAAAGTTTACAGAGACTTAGGGTTTCCATTCATTCATTATTTCACTTTTCTTCCTGCCTACCCTCTCCACCCAAGTTCACGCTTCTCCTTGAAAAGTAAAACTCTTTCGTTGTTATGCAGTCCCTCCCAAGTCCACTCCACTGTGCAGCCTTCATTCTGGACTCCTGTCATGACAATAATACCGTATCATATATCCCTTTTAAACAGTTCTCTCCCTCATCTGTTTCAGTGCAGTATACATCATTCTTCCCCTCCTTCTCTCTCTTCCCTCAACCCCAATGTCAGTCCCATTTTATAACAGTGATCCTGTGCAATATTTGTCCTTCTGTGACTGAGATATTTCATTCAACAAAGTGTCCTCCAGGGTCACCCGTTTTGTATAATATTTCATGAGTTCCTTGTTTTTCAATGCTGCATGTATTCCATTGTGGGAATATACCACAGCTGCTCTATCCATTCATTTGTTGATGGGCACTTGGGTTGTTTCCAGCTCTTTGCTATTGTGAACAAAGCCGCAATAAACATGGGTGTGCATATATGTGCTTAGGTGGCAGTTATGATTTCTTTAGGGTAAATTCCCAGTAGTGGAATTGCTGGGTCAAATGGTATTTCTATTTGCAACTTTTTGAGAAGTGCCATACTGCCTTCCATAGTTGCACCATTTTACACTCCCACCAACAGTGAATAAGGGTTCCGGTTTCTCCATAACCTCTAATGTCTCAAGTATTATGAGGATAGCGCAGAATAGGAGAGGATTCAGATCTATTGTTCATAGGGTTGCTATGGGTCAACAGCACCTAACACCACCTGTGTGTGTTCCTACTTGTATATGTATGCATGTGTGTGTCTGCGTCTGTCTGTGTCTATGTTTATGAGAAATATCACAGGTCTGTTCTGGCTCATAACACCACATACCCAGCACTGTTCACGCTGCACAGCCTGCCGACACCTCCTTTTACATGACTCTAAACCCACCCAGCCCCAAAGTCTTTGGGCCAGAATTCACATCCTCCCCCTGACGTTTCCCATTTGGCACCTGGGCCATATATAGGGTGGAACCATTTCAGAAGTTAAAAAATGACCAGACATTGGTGGTTCTGTCTCACATCATTACCTTTGCTTAGGCTTCATACACAAGTGTGCTCATATAGGCTCTGGGTTCCGATGTTTGTCTGATTTCTTTATCAAAGCAGAAAGTCTTTACAATGTCAGACAAAAGTCTGTGCCTTAAGCCATCACTAGGTATGGTTCACACTCCTCAGCAGCAATTTCCTCACCCCTCTTTACGGTCAGAACCGAGACTAAGTGGAATTTCTCCTTGTGTTTGCAGTTGATCTGGCCCTGCTGTAGTTCAAATCTACTCCCTTTTCTTTCTTTCTTTTTTTTTTTTTATGGACACATGTTGTTGTTACCGTCATCAAATAGTAGGCGACTCATAGGGACCCTGTGAACAGAAGACTTGTATAACTTTCATCCTTTCTATAGGTTCATAGGGATTCCAGAGGCAAGCTATTTCAGAAGTGAATACCACTCCTGCCTCCTGTTCCCAAGCTTGCTTTAATTGGAGAGCTCCACCAAACACTGTCCACCATGGGTAACCACTATCACATTTGAAACATCAGTGTCACAGTGTTCAGCTTCAGAGCAACCACGAGTTACCTCTGTACAGCAAGTGGACAGACCAGTGTTATACAACCTAGAAGAATGTTTGATAAAAAACAGGCCTGAGGGCTGCAGATTAAAGACACCCACCTTTAGCAAGCCAAAGCATCACTTTCTTTTCATTCATACATACTTTTATTAAGATGCAACCTGTATATATTAAACTTAAGTATCAAGGTCTTTTCCCCAAAGAGTTAAAGAGCAGTTTTGTCCATTTAAAGACTAAGATGCGCCTGATCCAAGTCATGGTATTTTCTTTTTTCTTTAATTGAGATTTTAATGAAAGTTTATATAGAGAGACTTTGGATTTCCATTCATTCATTGTTGCACCTTTTCCTCCCTGCCCACCCCTCTCCCCCAGTTTGCTTTTCTCTTTGAAGAGAAAAAATTCTTTTGTTGGACATTCCTGGCCTTTTTGAGGTCTGGTGCTGTGGGCAGTGTTCACACTGAGCTCACTCACCCCCTTCCCTCTGGGTTTCTCTGAGCCCTTTCAGATTGGCATCCAGCCTCTCTCTTTTTCTACTTTGCAGAATTACCTCCGAGTTGCATTCCAGGAGGTAAGCAGTGGATGCACTGGGAAGACCCTCCTGGTGAGGCCATACATCACCACCGAGGACGTGTGCCAGCTCTGCGCTGAGAAGTTCAAGGTGGGTCACCCTGAGGAATACAGCCTCTTTCTCTTCATTGATGAAACCTGGCAACAGCTGGCAGAGGATACGTACCCTCAGAAAATCAAGGCCGAGCTGCACAGTCGTCCACAGCCCCACATCTTCCACTTTGTCTACAAGCGGGTCAATAACAACCCTTACGGTGTCCTCTACCAGGACGAAGATGACCTCACCTCCTCCTAGAAGACATGAGGCACCTCCCAGCAGCCAGCCAATGGGTTAGCAGTGCTCCTTCTACGCTCTCCATCCTTCAGCGTGAAGAGCTGTCACCTTCTGGGGATCAGCCTTCTTGGGCTAGGGTACCTTCAGGCATGATGCCCACAGAGAGCCCTGCGGCCTGTGGAGCTGTAAAATCTCCCATCATGAGGGAGAGCTGTGTTTGATGGTTCATGTGTTCTGAGATTGTTTGCTGCCTACCACCCCTGTCCCACCACCAAGTTGTATTGACTTAGGTGATTGTGTATGTGCTCCATTAGCGTCCTGAGGTACAAGCTCTCTTTGACCTCACCGGCAGGTCTTGGCTAGACCATCTGATGCAGTGCATCAGGTACTATTCTCTCAATTCTGTGGATGGCTCCATCCTTTCCTGCCCTTCTTTTTATTTTTTACAAAGAGCCTTTGTGGTTTTTATATCTATTTTATGAATATTTTTATAGCAGTTGCAGGCAAACTGTTAGGATTGGTTTTTAAAATATTTTTGTAATTTTAAAATATTTTATAATTATGCATGTGATTTTTAACCTTTGATATTCAAAATTAAATCTCTTGCTGGATTTGAGAGTATTGCCTTTTAAAGGTCTCTCTTCTGTAACTGGATGTTTGGCCACGTTGTGGGGAGAGGCTGCTGAGTATTCTGGAGTAATGTCTCACTGATGATGGCCACAGGACGCCTTCTCCAATCAGATGTACTGTTACCTTGGTCATGTGCCCTGGTGTTGTGTTTTATTTTCAAGTTAATGACACTGATAATGAGGAAAGAAATGAATGTAGATAGAGGTCCAGAGAAAATATACAGACTCTAATAAGAAAGGGTTGAGAGGTACAGTCTGCTGGTTCAGACCCTCTGAGGATCCAGGTGAGCTTCAGATACTGTAAATATGCAATGAGATGTGTCAAAGCCTGGCACACATGGTACTTGCTTTTGAAAACAATTTTGAAAACCCTGTGAAGCCAAAAATCTAAGTAAACAATTAGACATTTTATCCCGCTTTCTTAAATAAAAACATTCAGGATCAAGATGTTTGAGGCAGAAATTGAGTAATGTTGCTTTCACAGAGTTAAATAAGATGGTGTTTGGGAAAGAGTTTGTAAAAGCCCGTCTGTCATGTAAGAATTTATGGGTAAATTAAGTTGGCCTGTTTTGTAAAACCTGTTGTGTGGGCGCTGGCAATGAGGGTCTTGTATTGATGTAACACAGGTGGTTACAGACCATGTTATACTATGTAAAAATGCATTGTCATTTCTGGCTGGCTGTGTACCTTTTATCTTCTCCAGCCTTGGCTTTGCTGTACATGTAGAACTCTACATACCATGTGCACATCCTCTTGTAAATGATTTTTTTCCAATGAAACTTTCTTTGCACATAATCCTTTGTACGATAATCATGCGTCAAAATGATTTTTTTAAAAATAATTCTGGCTTGTCTTCTTTCTTTTAGAATCACAATGTAGTCATACACCACACCATGCCATGTATACCTGAAATCCCCAGCCAGTGTTTGTGGTTAGAAAATCAGAAAAGTAAACAGAAAGTTCACTCTTTTGGCAGCGTGTGTGCTGATGCAGAGTGGAAAACAGAGCAGCTGGAGATGATCTTCTGACTAAAATGTGGTCCCATGGTCTTCAGGAGAGTGGTCTGCTTGTGGGTCTGGAGCAAATGTAGTTGAACTCAAGTTTGCTGAGATCCTGCAAACACCCTTCCTCCATGTCTTGTCCTTAAACTGCCCCTCCAGTTCAGAAGTGTTCAAAACCGAGAACACTACTCACCATCAGAGGTGTTTATATATAGTGGCTCTGTCCATACGTAAAATTCAGCCCTTGTCCTGGCAGCCCACTGTGCACGCTCGCTCTTGTAGTCAAGCATGGCTCCAGAGGAATGACAAGAGACAGCCCAGGATTCAGAGTCACAGCTTTGAATATCCACTCTGCTCTGATCCCATCATCCACTTACCACCTGTGTCCTGAGTCACTTGTTTGAAACATCAATCTGCAATCTGTATTCTGACTACTTTGCTCAAGGTGAAGGTGGGCTTGTGCCTCTCCTTGTTGGTTGCAATGAGAACCTTAACTACAGTATTCTGGGGTTTTTAATAACTAGCATATATTACCAAGTCATAATGGAAGATGTCAAAGACAGTTTAGGACCTGAGACTTTTGGTCTTTTCCCACTTCAGTAAGATTAAAATGCCACAAGAAGGAAACGGTGAAGAGAAGCGTTGACGTCTTTATGAGTGAAGCATTTTGTATTTTGTGTAAATCCTCTCAGGTGCATTAATCTGCAAAATTCTTTCCCTTATAATCCAGAAAAGTGGCAGCAACTTAGATGTCTCATCTTTGGGTCCTATGACCCATCCACTCAATGGAGAATTCACTGACATTTGATGGTTGCAAAGGTAAACAAAACAGTATTATGCGTAAATGCTTACCATATGTTAAATGAAAGCATTGTAAACATAAAAATCAATAGTGGGCAGAAGCTCTCTCTTCTTCCTGCTGTACTTCCTGTGCCTGGAAACATGCCAGGCAAATAGTAAATGGTCAGTGAGTGAGTGCTGACTGGATAAAAAAAGACCCACAAGTTCACATAGGCATTGGGATAGAGACTAAGCTCAGGATGAAGGCTTATTGGATCATGTGACTTTTTATTCCTAACGAATCGGCAGATGATGGCTCAACTCCTATAGTTGCCATCTCACATCGTCTAAGTGAAGACCCTCACTGCAGCAGCTGTGAGGGTATTGGACGCAGGGCGTCACGAGGGGGAACAGACCTCACAGCACCTCGTGCCCCCACGCCCGTGCTCCCTTGTACTTAGCAGCAGGCCTGCTCTTGATTTAACATCAGTCCAGGCATCTCCATGCTGGGCAGCCTGAGCAGCTGTGTGGTTTGGGAGCTTGTTTAGGGTAGGAAGATGGTCAGCAGAAGAGAGCATCACAAGACAGCCCAGAGCCTACCGTTGGGCAATATTCCGCTGTTAAAATTACAACACAACATGTGTCTTCACTTTCCCCCCCCATGCAGACATTTCTCACTTCTCAAATTGTCAGGAAACAGACTTCAAGGAAGCTTGGAAGGGCGAGGAAGAGAGTGAAAATAAATGCCTTGGGTAGAAGGACAGAAGGATGTGCTTTGAAATATAAATATATGTTGTAGAAGTTGAATGCTGGCCAGAAGAAGGGATTCTTTTTGCTGCTGCATGCACTGCCAAACCCCTTCAGAGACAGAATGGAAATAGAAACTGCATGGAACTCACCACTTTAGATCTGTATGAAAACAGGGAAAGCTCAGCTGTGAATGCTTTCATTCACAAATGTGGCTTCTGCAGCACTTGACATCACAAAGCTCTTAAAAAGAACTAATAGCCAGGGGTTTGAGAGAAATGACTCGAAAAGGACTCTTGACAAGGGCAACATCGGGGACGTGGGGATGCCAGCTGTTCAGTTCTGTCTTATGGTACAGTCCTAACCACCATCATCTTTCACACTATTTTCAGGATGGCAAATTTGAGATGGACAGTGTTGTCATTTCCTTAACACTTAGCAACCTCCTGAGCTCTGGTATGAGCACTGGTGGCTTAGTGGTAAGGAGCTAGATTGCCAACCCAAAAGACATGGTTCAAATCCACCAGTTGCTCCATGGAAATGATAGTCTCCTCTCATGCAATTTACAGCCTCTGAAAACCCACTTGAAGGTCACCTGTGAGTCGGTTCTGACTCAACAGCACATAAAAACAGCAAACAACTTGCAGAGAGCTCTGGTGGTTTAGTGGTAAGAAAGTACACTGCCAAACCAAGGTCCTGTGGTTCAAATCCACCAGCTGCCCTCCAGGAGGAAGAGGGGCAATTCCTTCTGTGCAATTTATTGCCTCTAGAAATTTACTGGAGGGTCAGCTATGAGTCAGTTCTGACTTGATGGTACACAAGAAGCAACCTTCAAAGGAGCCCTGATGATTGAATAGTTAAGTCCACACATGCTAATGAAATGTTAGTGGTTCAAATATGCTAGCAGGTCTGTGGGGAAAATGTAGCCATCTGCTTTTGGAAAGCCTGCCACCTAGGACACCACACAAGGCTGTTCTGTCCCAACCTCTACTCACTATGGGTCAGAATTCCTTTCAGTTTTGATAATCAGGGGAATGTGAATAGACTCATTTGATGCTATAGAAGCATAAACAAATTACAATGACAGAGGGAAAGCAAAAGAGAAGAAAATATCTGGTGTTTGTTTCAGACAAGCTCTTATTTGGAAAAAGATCTGTTTTTCTTTAACATCAAGAGAGGTGATGTTTGTCACAAACTTTCCTGCAAAAACACTGAGTAGCTGTGGAAGTAAATAATTTTAATCAATCGGGAAACAAGGTCTGACCTGGCCTGGATATGCTTTGAAGGAAGGGAAGCCATTGGGGGGGAGGGGAGGATGCTTGATTCTAGTAATTTCTTCTACTCAGAAATGGAATTTGCCTAGTTCTGAGACTTGACATAATAAGCACGTCTTGACCTGCATACGCCCTTGGGCTAAGCATGCCCAGCCTGGTTTCCCTTGACTCGAGCTCAGCACACAGGCCAATCCTGCCCCAAGTTCCTCGTTCTCAGCCAAGGTGTTGCCCCACCTGAGTCTGTCAGCCTGTGACAGCACAAGAGCCCGAAAAGCTTGTACCCCTGTGGCAGCTCTCATTTTCCTGGGAATCTCTCTGACACTGAAGGAGTTTGCTGGTGGGGCATGCCTCTTCTTCCTTGTGCGGCCACTCACCCCATTCCTTGCATTTCTCCCTGGTGACTCTAAGGGAAGGGGTTTCCTCAAGTCCTGGGGTATCAGATGCTCCTGTTCTATAATAAGCCTGCAAGCCACAACCCAGCCTCTGACTTGCCACCTCCTTCTTACAACTTGCTTCTCTATTTCCTGTCAAGACTGAAAGCCTGAACTGGCCCCCTCTGTCTACACAGACTGCCCACCATGCCTTCATTC